CGTTTACGCATTCGGGGAATGCACAGCAAAGGCATAGAGTTTATCTTAACGATGCATGCGAAACGGCTGTATGACATGGGCTCACGTCAATCTGTGGACAGAGAAATAGTGGAGCACATGCACCCGACATCGCTGTATAGAAGCCAAACTCGCTGTCGAAACACAGGGAGCCTAAATAATAAAACCAGCACTCTACGACAAGCACGTCACGTGATTTACCGTGAATCGCATTGAAAGAGATGGGCGTCAGTTGCTTGAAACGTTTCCTGCTGGGCTTCGGTTTTTTACCGAAGCGTGACTTCGAGTTCTGTGCAGGTAACGTACACACACTTCGGAGTGAATACAGGCTAGTTGCAATGTCTTCGCGTGAGTGTCCTATAGATGCTGTATTCTCTCTGTTCGACGCGAGAAACGGTTCGCGAGAGGTCCGCGTAAACAGGAGTGCGAACGGGTGTTTCAGGGCAAGGGCCACGGCATTCCACTGAAGTCCACCGGTCCACCGAGTCCAGCGTCCGCTTCCAGCAAGCTCGTGATGACCGCCATGGCCGCCTCGTCGTTTTCTTCACTGTTGCCCTGACTTCCGGCAATCAGGATGTCCCGACTCGCGAAGCTGTTCACCAGGTTCCGATCTAGGATGAAGAAGCAGAACGTTAAACTACAGGCAAGTGGATCACAGCCTTATTTGAGCGGGAAATTGTTGATACACCTGTTTCACGTATTTGCTGCTGCATATTTCTTGTGCTATTAGAATTCGTTTGGGACCCTTTAACAAACTTGTTGGGTTTCAGGATGTAAGTAACGCGTGGTTTAAAACAATAAGAATTGGAAGAAAACTGTCACTTCTGTCTTGGAAGTGAAACAAGTATAGCCACCGTGAGAGCTGTAAGACAAGGATGGTATTACACGTCGTGTAAAGAGTCTTCGTTCGACATAATGTTTTTAGCTGTAATAATAATAATAATAATAATAATAATAATAATAATAATAATTATAATAATAATGATGATGATGATGATGATGATGATGATGATGATGATGATGATAATGCTTGGTGTTGGACGTCTCTAAACCACCATACGATTATGAGAGACACCGGAGTGATGGGGTCCAGAAATTCCGACCACCTGGGGTTCTTTAACGTGAACATAAATCGAAGCACACAGACCTCAAGCATTTCCCCTTCCATCGAAAATACGGCCGCCGTGGCCGGGATTCGATCCCGCGACCTGCGGGTCAGCAGCCCAGTGCCTCAGCCATTACACCACCGTGGCGGGTTTGTTTAGCCATATACCGTACGTCTACTTCAAGGCTTAATTATTCTCTGCATGTGACCATGTTTGTAAGTAATGCAACACTGAAGTGTGATGGCTTAATTGTGAAAGTTCGCCCCAAGTTCTCTTTATTGTGTCATGGTGCACTCACCGATAGCGAAACTCTAGTCATCACAGACCGCGCGTACTAATTTCAGTCGCTTTCCAATATTAATAACTGACCACAGCGCCGCATCACAAACTGGCTTCGTTACGACACAGGGCGAAAACCAGCATTATGCGAACGTCGCACGTATAGGTGCTGTCTTAAAATGTGCTGTCCGAGAAATCGTAAGCCAGTTGTAGTCTTCAACCTACTGCCCGTACAAAATAAAAACCTAATTTTCGTAGCCCGGACCGAAAGTTGCAGAACACTTCGAATAAATGTTCACTCAATAGTGTGCGCTCTCATTTTGTTCCCTACCTTGAGACAAAAAGATTGCGCTTGACCAAGCACTGCAGGTGATTGAATAGCTTCATACATTTGTTTTAGACTTCAGCAGAATAAAACGTCATTGTGCACTTCTAAGCAGCCGTTACTTATTTTCGACTGCAATTGGCCAGTGATCATCATGAAATAGAGGTGTGTTAAGCAAAAGATCTAAATGTGGTTGTACTCCCCGCCTGCTCCATAGCGGATCATTCCAAGCAGTAAACTTTCGTTATCTGTTCAAACTCCAGGACACATCTTTTCACAACATTGCAAGTTACCTTGCCCCAGCTATTTTAAAAACTATGTCCTGGATTGTTTTTGAAAGTTCTGACAATGAAGTGCCACCACGCTTAGTATTCAAAGGCGTTTGAAGCCGTTGAAGCGTTCTTCAAGAAGCATTCTATCCGCAAAGGCTCGAAACTCTAATGTAAATATGCGGAATAAATTTCGAGATTCAAAGTCTTAAGTGTTTTCCTTCGTCGACATAGCTGACAGGAATGCTTTTAGATACTGATAGATTAGCAGCTGATCTATAGAAAATATTTTGGTTTGGATGCGAAACAGGAAACCATAACGTTGGCAGGCCTCTGTCATAAAACCAGATGGCTTCTGCACAGGCGAGGTATACGGTATGATGGGAGCATGTCTAGTCGGGACAAAGGTGCGAGAAATTTGATAGGAAAAGATTTTTCGACGGCTACACAGCAGCCTTATCTCACAAGTTTGCTGGAACATCTTGAAATGCTTTTGGAAACGACGTGAAAATCCGCCGTGTCCGATTCGCCATCTTTTAAACTCTGATTGGCTCACATGGCAGCTACGATCTCTCTCATTGGTTCAAAATGTGACAGTTTCACACGATTTGGTTACCCAGTTCGACCGCGTACAGAATAGCAAATAGAAAGAAAGAAAAAATGACGGCATATCCACGGGGTGAATGATGAAGAGTGGAGCGAAGCTGGGTCCGCACGCCGCGCCGCTTGTGTTGCTATGCATGCGTTGCTAACACAAGCATTGCCTTTTGTGTCAGCGACACGTCAATATCCTTATTTGATAGGGAGCATAATTTTCTGCGTGGCTTCTTGTAAGATGTTTGGTTTTCACCGTGTGACTATGTTCTTTCGCGAGTATATATTTGAAGGGTGGCGAATAATAAAGTTCATTAGAAAGTTTGTGCCTGTCCCTCTCCCATATTTTCTGCGCCCTTGTCTTTGTTTGTCCACACTAGTTTACCTTTAAATGTGAACCAACTCACCCAGCCGCAAGTTTTGCTGAACCAGCATAAACTTTCCTTCAGGCACGGGGTATGTGCTATACAAATATAACCATGTTGCCACAGTTCGAAAGTTTATTATAAAGAGAAATGAAAAGGGACAACGTGTCTCATATTGTCCCAACCTGCGGGGCAAAACGAGGCAATGGGAAAACAATTTTCTCTCTTCAGTTGTCCCCAGCAGAACCACTTGAAATTCACACTACGAGCCCTCATGCATTCCTCATAAGCCCAGGTCTTACACTCCGCGCATTGAATCTAGACAGACACCAACTATAAGTTGCTCCGAACTTTTTGCAGATCAAACACCATCAGTCTTTTTGTGTGTGCCAATGTTTTTTTTTCAACGCTTGCACTTTATCAGATTATATAACGATTGAAATCTAGATATGTTCCGGCACATCATGACCTCTTTTTTTTGCCGTTTTGAAGCAAAACTGCACTGGCATTTTTTTTTTTTGAAGGGGGGGGCGTTAGCTTCGGAGGGGGGAGGGGCAGCCAGCTACCTATCGCAACTAGCGAGAAGGGTGCCACTGTTCCTGGAAATACAACACTACCCATTTTCTCATCAGAGCGCTGTTCTGGTTGGTGATTGCGCGTCACAGTGACTCACATAAAACACGCGAGACTTCAAAGCACGGATTGTTGACTCGAGATTGCTGCAGACCGATGAAAGAGGCAGCGCAAAGCTACTCTAATTTTGTGCTGACACTAATGAAGCGGGTGTACCGAAGCACAACCACTGTCGCAGGAGGTAATATTAGAGGTGGGCTTCAGTAAAGAACAGTGTAACATCAGTGTAACGTTTGTCAGTTAACTCCACAATTTTATTGTTCATAGCATGAGCAACTAGCACACCCTGGCGTTAGTTTCGATGCCGCTATATAAACGGAATAAATGATTGTGGTATAAATTTCAACGCCACGGGTTTTCGACAAAACAAGAAAGTTCCCGTAAGTGCCTAATCGTTGAATGTGCCTAATATCACTTTAAAGAGGTAAATGTATAAATCAAAATAAAATAGCCATGAATGCACCTAATATCACTTACAAATGTATAAATCAAAATAAAATTTCTTTCTGGCGACTCCCGAGTGCCACAGCACCGGCAGCTTGGGATGGTGTACACGTCCGGGAATGGAGGGATACGCGCTTGTTTGAAGTAGACGCAAAGTGTTGGCCTGTGCTTGGTTGAGCTTGGGGTGAGGTGGGGGAAAGCATGTGCTGTGGGAGTGCACGGCACAGTGCAGACACGCTATCACCACGACCCTTTCGTCGAAGCTTCACGAGACTCTGCGGAGCCCCGCTCTCGACGACCAAACCTGGGCGACCCAGCAAGCGCGTGAGGCGGCGTCGAGGCAAGCCCTTGACGTTTCCTTATGGAAGGCCCGGCCACCTAAACCTGCTGGTTTCTGATAATAAAGTTTGCACCTTCTTCTCGTCTGGCGACGGGTTTCGAATCTAGAGCCACGCAATCAGAAAGCTAGTGTCTGTGATGTATACCTACAAACACCGAACAGAAAGCACACCCTGGCAAACACTCCCGAGAATACGAATGCAAATGTTCGGCGAGTATGGCATATGACACGAAAGAGTCACGTACGCTGTGTGATCTACGGGGCACGCGCAAAGATAAAGCGTGCAGGGGCAATAGCAACGAGTTCTCGGTTGAACGCAAGTCAATCTATCATACTCTTCTCTGTGACAGCCAATGCTTTCACACATCTTATACTCAATTATGCTACCACCTTCACTGTCGTTTTCCGTCATCATAGCGTACAATCTGGTATCCCATTGACCTTGCAGGACCACGTTGCTCCATTTGGATAAACACGGTGAACGACATCCAAGATTGTATAGCTATTGGTACCTGAAATGCTTCGTGCAACACTTACCTCCACAGTTCTTGAACGAGAACCACTTGAACGAGAAGTGCAAAAGCAGCGGCCACGACAGAGTTCGGGACCATTGATCGGAAGAACGTACACTTTTGGAAGTACATGTAGAGCGCTTTATTGAAGCAATACGTATACGTATATGCGTTGTTTGCGTGCGACTACGTCACCAGATTACACTGTACAAGAACAGTTTTATTGTGTTGCACAGGTGATGTCTATTTCGTTCGTGGCACAATACGCGAAATGAGCAGAGCATGAGAACGGTAAGTGGTGAAGGAGGAACGCTCGCAGCTTATTACGGCGCTGATGCTCCGTCGGTTTGCTTGCGGATTCAATTCGTCTCAGTCAACGGTTTCGAGTCGGTTATCTGCGGGAAAATTACCGCGATGTAATAGCCCGGAAAAAATGTTTATTTGAATCTAGAGAATGTATACTGGCTGCATTAGAGTAAGTATAATAACCCAACACAACCATTTTGTCATATAAAAATGAAAATCTGCCACTGTTTCGGCTTGTCAACTGAAAGTACTCCTCTCTAATTCAGGTGAACATTGCAGACAACATCAGGACAAGCACGAAAATGTTGAGCCAACAACAATCACTTGATGCTTTCTGGATGCTCGTGTCATGTTCGAATTCTAAAAGCAGCTGTTCTTTGCAGTTTTCACTTACGATGCAACGCGACGCGTTTTCCGCTTTGCGTGCAGGTCAGCGTATCGATCAGCACGCACATAAGGTCGACTTGTACGATATTATTCTAGGTAAATAATTTTCTTTCCTCTTTCGGGCCAACATCTCTTGAAAGGGAACTTTTATGTCCGTGGTCAACGGATCGAGGCTGTTTTCCTCAAGACGTTAACTTTTGTTTATTTCAATAAATACGTTTATACCGGCACCAGGGCAAGCGCAAACAGCTTGTGTGTGTGTTCTGTCACAACAAAGTGACACTTGAAATAATAGTTGGCGTCTACGTCAACGCTTCCCTGTCGTCCGCGTGTTGACGTCTTTCCTCCGCGTCCGGATTTCTATTTTCAATGTAAATTACTGTATACCCGAAAAATGTCACTTTGGCCCTTCTTACACGCAACTCGATCATAAACAACAACTGGCTGAGCGTTTAACTTATCGCACATCTAGGTAGATATATCGTGCTGCTAGGCGGTGCCACAGCAGCGAGTTCACTGCAGTGAGTAAATCGCAGTCCGCTGACCTCGAGATCATTGCAGTGACGATGCAGTATTTCCCGGCTATACGATCGAATGTGGTAAATACTAGTGAGACTTTGACAGCGATCCACCCGCTAGCGATTTCCCCTCCTTTGTACATTTTTTTTAACTGTAGAGTTGGCAAAGCAGGGCGTAAGGTGTAACCCGTGGACTGCAAGCAGATCCCACTGCAATGGGATCTGCTGAGATCGATTCTGGAGCAGTTTTTTTTTTTTGTGTGCTTTGGGCCAAACGTTACGGGGTGAATCGACGTGTCTGTACAAATAGAGTAGTTGTGTGCATGCCATCGGCTCAGTACACAAGACGAGTACCGTGGTGCTTGAAGGGTATCTTATGGTCTGACGCAGCCTTCCGCACTCACTGTAGAGCACATACGCCTGTTTTGCGGTAGGAAGTGAAAATGGGAATGAGGGGGGGGGGGGGGGGGGTGGCTGATATAAGGTTAAGGAAATGGGGAAAACGAAGGAGAACACCGACAGCTACGCCGTTTTTTTTAGACGATAGTCTTTCTTGGGGACCTTCGACGCAAAAATTTTGGTCTGTCTGTCTGTCTGTCTGTCTGTCTGTCTGTCTGTCTGTCTGTCTGTCTGTCCACTCTTACCGGCATCGGGTATTTGAAACGGCCGACCCCATCCGCAGCGACCACCAATGTTGCTCAAGGTTGAGCGTTCATGCTTGTGCAATTGTCAATTAAAAAGCAATTATTGCGCATGTCTGGGGCACCATAACAACACGCATATATTCTGCATATGCATCTCTTACTAGAAAATGCATACATAAGTAATTTTAAGGACCGTAGCGCTTATCACGCTGCGCTTACCATGCAACGCTTGCACGGAACGGGGAGTGTTTCCAACGCTTTGCGAAGACGAGATGGTGGTGGCACCTACCCGTCGCCTCGCGCTCTACACCTTATCACCTCTGAGACGGGCGCGCACGGCCACGCGCTTTTTCAGTCTTCGCAGCACTAGTGTGCATAGATGCCATAGCCTTCATTTTTTTTTTCTTTACTCCGCCCTCCAGGACTCAGTCATGCATCCACCTCATCTGAACTGAACACTCACAATTCATCGTCTTCATCAATCATTTTCGGGTGCAGCACTAACCTGTCTGACTGCGGTGATGCGTGCGAAAGGCTCGCCAGGGTCGCACACGCCCCGATAGTCCTCGAGGTCCGCGTGGTAGAGCGCCACGCACAAAGCCGGATACTCGTCCAGGATCAATGTCATCTGCGCAAGCGCAGCGATTTTCAACGTTTATTTTCTAACTCTCGCAATGACACCGAACGTGTGTACAACCACCCGTCTGTGTCCGTGCGCATGCGCATAAGCACATGGACGCGGACAGGATGATTGTCTATTTCCTTTTCTTAACCCTTCCGCCATCATTGCGGGATCCCGCAACATCAATCTGTAATCTATTTTAAAATATTCACACAACCATAACAGCGAGACCTTAAAAAACAAGCTGGCACACTTCAGACGACCACTCGTTTCAATTGTGATGTAAGCGAAGTGGTCTTCTCTAGTGCTACCGACACGCTCGATTTCAGTATCATTTCTACCACGCTTTGAAATATGATATGATTACATCGAATCAAATAAGATACAGATATTTTAAAAAGTCCCTGCAACACTTTTTGAGCATGTTCAGGAAACCTCTGCCGATCTGTAGTAGAGGATCCAGACAGCCCGCGAGCCTAATATTATAAAGCACAGCACGCGGCCTGGAATTCACAATAAATTTTCAGTCAGCTAAAAATTGCTTTCTCTTCTCTCGACAAATCACGTTATATGCCCAAAAATCACACGTCAACTACCCATCTATCAGCCATTGGCTGATTTGAACATGGCGCGCTCGCTCGTTACAGAGACTGCCGCAGGAAGCCGCTACTTGTCCACGCGTGCGAGAGCGATCACACTGAAAAAGCCGCGAATTCGAAGAAAAAAAAGGAAGTAAAAAGTACTCAAGGTCGCGAAGCACGCATGACACTTTTCTGTGCTCCTGCCACCCCTCCCTATTTAGCTTCCAGTGCTTTCGTCGGGACGAGAGAAGAGAGAATGCAATTACAGCATGCGGCAACCCTTTGTAACTCCACTCGAACTGGACGGATTCTTAAAATTTTTGCGGCGTTGAATTCGCGAGGAAATAAGCTCTTCCAGTGAATTTTTATTTCCAATACTGCTGCTCTCATCTGAGAGCGTAGCAGGAGGGCAATACAAAAAGTGCAATATATAAAACATAAAACATTTCAGGAACAATGAAATATCTAATAAATGTAAAAAAAAGAGGTTACAATAAATATAAGGCAAGAACAAATAGCGTTTACCAAAATATATACAATGAATACATTTATCACACTATTGAGACAGGCCTGTAGTTATATCCTCTCTGTGTCGAGGATTAGTTGCTTGTGCCTTCAATTTTATTAACAAATTCCGAGAATGATTTGGTGTTTGTGATCGATGGATGTACTTGATTCCATTCCCTAATGGCAAGTGGAAAAAAAGAATGCTTGAAGGTTTCATTACTATATGAATATTCTGTTAGTATATTGGGATGCTGTTGGCGTGTAGGTCGGGTTTCGGAAAACGAAATGTACTTCGACACGTTTATCTTGAAACTGTTGTGAATTATCTGAAACAAGAATTTTAAGCGGGCTTCTTTCGCCCTTTCTAGCAGCGTTTTTAGATTGGATGCGTTTAAAAGGTAAGTTGGGGAGTCAGTGCGCCTGTACCTGTTGTGAATAAATCTTATCGCTTTTCTTTGCACTGCTTCCAGTTTCCTTATGTTAGTCTTTGTATGCGGGAACCAAACCACGTTGGCATATTCTAAAATCGGTCTTATAAATGTCTTATAGGCAAGCAGCTTTATTGGGGTGGGAGCTAGTTTTAGGCTTCTTTTAAGAAAAAATAACTTACGTAGTGCTGCTGCGGAAACGTTATCTATGTGCTGGGTCCAGTTAAGGTCCGAAGTAAGCGTCACCCCTAAATATTTATGTTGGTTTACTTTAGGTAGCATGGTGCCGTCGACTGCATAGTTGAATATTGAGGGCTGTTTTCTTTTAGTTATTGTGATCACAGCGGATTTTTTTACGTTTATTGACATCTGCCATTGTTTACACCATTCGGATATTGTGTTTAGGGAGGCACTCAGCGCAAGGTGGTCTGTATGGCTATTGATTTCCTGATATATAACACAATCGTCAGCAAAAAGTTTTATGTTAGAGTCGATGTTTGTTGCAATGTCGTTGATATAGATTAAAAATAACAATGGTCCAAGAACTGATCCTTGTGGTACGCCTGATGATACAGAAACGGTTTTCGATGTAGCTTGTTCAAAGAATACGAATTGTTTTCGATTGAGCAAAAAGTCCTTAATCCAACTGGCGAATGAGGTGTTACCTAAGATGGCTTCCAATTTCGCAATTAATTTGTTATGGCAGACACTGTCAAATGCTTTTGAAAAATCTAATAGGACCATATCTGTTTGACTGCGGCGATTGAGGCTATGTGCAAGGTCATGTACAACTTCGGTCAATTGTGTAATAGTTGATAAACCGTTTCGAAATCCATGCTGGTTGGGAGAAAAAAAATGTATTTGTTCAAGGAAAGATGTGATGTGTTTAAAAATAACATGTTCTAGTAGTTTGCACGATGTACTTGTAAGAGATATAGGTCTATAGTTCGATACCAGGACTTTATCTCCGGATTTATGTATTGGTATGACTTTAGCTAATTTCCAGTCAGACGGTAATTTAGCGAGCTGCAAGGATTTCCTAAAAATTATTCCGAGATATTTACTACTCCATTCCGCGTACCTTTTAAGAAATTCGTTCGGAATGTTATCGGGACCACTAGATTTCCTGGGATCAATTTTCAATAAAAGATTCATGACACCGGCATCTGTAATGATTAGGTCATCGATGGTCGTGGTAATGCGCGAACTAATAGAGGGTACATTTTTATTTTCAGCTGTGAATACAGATTGAAAAAAGTTGTTAAATGACTCAGCTTTATCTTGTTTTTCTTTTGCAGATAGTTGTGTCACTGCCCCCTTTACACTGAAATGTTTCCAGAACCTGCGAGGGTTATTTGCAAGGAAACTCGGCAGAGTTACGTTAAAGTAATGATCTTTTGCCGCTTTGGTTTTATCTCGTAGATCAGTCTTAGCGTTCTGCAGTTTTAAAGTTATCGACTGGCTTTGGTTATTTTTTGCTGTTTTACGAAGACGATTCACGCGACGTTTTGAGTGAATAACTTCACGCGTGATCCATGGGTTTGACCTCTGCTGTTTTCTAGTTTTTTGGGGAACATACTTATCGATACAAAAAATATAATTGATTTGAACTTAATCCATAGAGCGTCTATGTCACATGATGCGTCCGACGCGAGTTGTGAAAAGTTGGCAAACTCGTAGTCTAAGTGTGTTAGTATGCTGTTGTCGTCTGCTCTTTGAAAGTCAGCAATCACAGACACTTCGTCACGATTGATTTGGGTATTGCTAATAGGTAGAATGCATAGCGGTATATCGTGGTCCGAAATGCCTTCAATAATACTCGATTTAACGGCACTTATCGGGAAGTGTTGGCTGAGAAGGATAAGATCCAGGATGTTTTTAACGGCACCTTGTGTGCGCGTAGGCTCAGTTACGATTTGTTGAAGGTTAAAGGCAAGCATAATATCAAGGAGAGCTTCAGAGGCTGCTGACGAGTGATGCATAGTATTCCATTCTATGTCAGCAAGATTGAAATCACCCATCAGCAGTACTTTCGAATTTCTCACATTTTGATGCATGAATTCTTGAATGGCCGATATACTTTCATGACCCGATGACGGGCTCCGGTAAACACACCCAATGAACACAGTCCCTGAGTCACACGTGAGTTTACAAAAGATTGCTTCAGCTTCTAAATTGTGCGCCAAAACGTGGAAGGAAAAGCGATTCTTTATCAGCAGAGCAACACCACCCCCTCGCGTCAGACGGTCCTTGCGGATTACAGAATAACTTGGGGGAGCAATTTCAGAGTCGTACACGTCAGGGGTGAGCCATGTTTCAGTGATAGCCACAACATCAGGTTCATATTCAAGCAACAGATTTTCAAGAGCTTCGATTTTGTTTAGAATACTTCTAGCATTTATATTCAGTACAGTTATTTCTTTAATTTTGTGCCTTGACGAGTGTAAGGCCGCCCCTTCGTGTCGTCCTTTTTTTGACGAAGCAGAACTTTGTCATTTTTTTTCGTTATTCCAAACGAAGGCTTGGCCATTAATATAGAGTTTGTCGAAGGCTAGTGACACCTTCTCGTGTTTCTGTCGATTTTCTTTTGCACTCTCCCAAAGCCTCTTTCTGACTTCCCGTATTTTACGCGAGAAGTCTTCACCAATGGACAAGCCAGAGTTTTTCAGTTTGTACCCATTTTTGAGTATTCCATTTTTTTGTCTAGAATCCAGCAGTTTGAAAATCACTGGTCTGACTTTATTTGTCTGTGCATTCCCTAATCGGTGTATACGTTCGATTACAACTGGTTCAAGTTCCAGTTTTTCTTTAATAATACCTTCGTTTACGGCTTGTTCTAAGCTTTCACTTGTTTCTCCCTCCTGTTCAGCTAAGCCGTACACAATAAGGTTTGACCGGCGGCTTCGATTTTCAAGGTCATCTATTCTTTTTTGCAGTGTTTCAATTACCTGTTTCATGTTTAATATTTCACCGTGAGAAGCTTCGACTTTCTTTTCTAGTTCCGTTATTGCGTCAAGCTTTTATCAATATCGGTCAGACGCTTCTCTTTTATCTCTTTTATGTCGGAAGCAATTTCCTTTATCTGTCTTGCGATTTGGGTTAGCTCAGGCCCAGGGTTTGTTTCAATATCGCCCCCAAGGAGCAATAATTTCTTCGCTAGGTCTATACATATTGACACAATTCCACAAAACTGCCGCGGGCACAGCAGCACAAGCAAGAAACGGTTGTCTGATCGAATACAAATTCCATGTTCCCTTCTCACCTGCACGATGAAGACGAAGGGGTTAAGCGTCCGCATTGCCTGAGTGCCGCTGTGCCCACAGCCTGCGTTGTTTGGTGCGGGCGCTTTTGTAGTCGTGGTTATCCGTGGTGGCGCTGCTTGTAGGTCGATTGCACTGGTTGCCTTGTAGTGACGCAACACAGATTCAACTGCCACGAAGAGCAGGATATCTGGTGCGTGTAGTGTCGATGCGTTGAATGCCTGCGCAGT